GGACCCCAACCCTCGGGGTAGCGCCCGCCCCCCCCCCAGCCAGTGAGCGGGAACCGGTTTGTATGTGGGATCTGAACCCGCCGGTCTGTATGTGGGATCCGACCCCTCGGCGGGAGCGCCGCCGCGCTCCCAAGCGGCGCACTGTAGCAATGTGCCACCGGGCCGGCCCGAGATCTTTGCTTTAAGATGACCAGGGCTGGAAACTCCTGTGTATCAGAATGAGGAAGTCCTTTCTCTGTGTGTGTGTGTGTGTGTGTGTGTGTGTGTGTGTGTGTGTGTGTGTGCATGTGTTTAAAGTCAGGCATCTATCTACCTCCCTTGAAAAGACAGGAATATCCCGCTTTAAAAACAATTGAGAGGACTTGAGAAAAGTTCTTTGGGTTCTGAACCATTAGAAGTTTCTGGCAAGCTTTATTTATGCTCTGGGGTAGTTATTTGACTTTGTATATGTAGCCTTCCAAACAGTCAGGTTTTCAAACTGACATCTCAACCCTGAATTCCTCTGATGCAACAAAGAAAGAAACAAACAGCATTACATTTCTGTTTCAGCTTACAAGAATCCTGGCCCTGTCCTTCCTGTTTTCAGCCCTATCTTGCCTTTTAGGCTTTTGAACTCTGGTGCCCTAAGACCCTGGTCCTGACTAAGGACTTTGAAACTTCCTGCTGCTTTGGGTGTACACTCTGTTGTTCTGGCTCCTGAGTTAATCTAGCCCCGCCACCACCACTCCTCCCTTCCCCTCACGTCTACTTTGTCCTCGGCAAGCAGAAGTCTGGGCCTGACTACACTGTATTTGTTAGTGATTATGTCATCCCCAGGCTGTGAGCTCCTGGAGGGAGGACTTTGATCATAGTTGTAACCCCTGAACTTTGATAGCAAGAAGGGTGAAGAGAAATTCCTGGATCAAGGAGCAGAAGCTCACAGCCCAGGAAGGGACTAAAGCAGGTAGCCCTGGCCCCCTGTGGAGGAACAAGGGCAGCAACGTGTGGGGCAGAGCATCCAGCCTTCACCTGCCTCTGAGCCCCTGCCTGGCCATGGTGGTGATTAACGGGTTGTTGCACAAGTTAAGGTGCTTTTGGTGCAAGTAACAGACACCAAGATCTGTTAACTTTGGCTAGCAAGAAAGGGGGGACACCCCTGTGTGCACTGACAGATGGCTGGATAAACAAAATATTGTAGATACAAACAGTGGATATTATTCAGCCTTAGAAAGGAATGCGGTTCTGATACATCCCACAATATGCACGAACCTTGAGGACATTGTGCTAAGTGAAATAAGCCAGTCACAAAAGGACAAATGCTGTATGATTCCACTTATATGAAGTACCAAGAGCACTCAAATTCACAGTGACGAAAAGTAGGATGGTGGTTACCAGGGCTGGGGGAGAGGAGAATGGTGAGTTAGTGTTTAACGTGTATGGAGTTTCAGTTTGTGATGATGAGAAAGATCTGGAGATGGATAATGGTGATGGTTGTACAACAAACTGAACGTACTGAATTGTACACTTCAGAGTGGTTAAAATTACACCAAAAACTGGGGTTCAATCCCTGTACTAGTCAGCAAAAAGAGAGAAAGACTAAAATGCTAAATTTTATGTTATGTATATTTTAACACACACACGCGCACACACCCCTGGAACTGAATGAATCAACAAAGGTTATTCCAGAGGTGCTAAATGCCACCGTGGCCCTTCAGGAATTTTTTTTTTTTTTAAAGATGACCAGTAAGGGGATCTCA